CCCCCAGCAATGAAGATAATGGCAAGGTTTGCAATCTCACAGGCCCTGGGTAAGAAATATCACTCTTAGTACACAGCAAATTTTGAAGAATGTTTTTAGGGTTCTAGCCTGAGAATCTTTTTTCAGGACTGAAGCTCAGCCTGGTGCTTGAATACCTAGCCATTCAATTTTATATAAGCTGCCAAAAAGGTTTAATAAATCTCTAATCTGAGGCTAATATTAGGTCTGATTATTATTAGTAAGTTCCAGAGAGATTTTTCTGGTGGAAATTATTATGAAAGTGCAAAACCCTTCTGCTAAGTATCATTAAGTAAAACCAGCCGTGTGGGACAAGTTTTCATATTGTGTTACATAGTGCAGCTAGATGGAGGAAAAGAACTTGCCATTTCTGGCCCCGACAACGCAAATACTAAACTTTTATGGCTGTAGTATTTCTTTGGAAGATTTTTACCTTTCAAATCATCAAAATGAAAGCTGCACAAGTAAGTACTATCATTGCCTATATCATCAAACAGAGAACATTTAAAATGTCAATTAGAATACTTGTCTTTTTTATATCCTATGATAAGTATGGTACACAACAACAATTTTATTGATTGGAACTCAGAATTACATTTTTATGATCAATTCACCTTGTGGATATATGAGAAACATTTTTTTAAATCATTAAAATAATACTAGCAGTTTAAATATCCTATATTTAAAAATCTAGAATTTAAATATTCTGAATTTTAAAACTGTCAACTTAAAAAGATTTAATGTTGCTTGAGAGTTAGTAAAAAAATGCATTTAAACCAACTGAAGAAAGGAACCCCATAGACAAATAATGTGTAAATTTTAATTCTCTGGTCAAGTTTTCAATTTGTTAATAATTTATAATAATAAAAATGAGATCATTCCAGATCTTAGTGAGTTACAATTATCCTATGATTTGTAACGTGCAAGTGAAAATTCTTGTCTGCACCTTAATTTCCTCTTTTGCAAAAGAAAGGACTTAAACCAAGTCAGCTTGATTTTGGTTTTGGGTTTTCTTTTTAAAATATTTTCTTAAAATAAAGTACATATCTCTGTAAGGAAGATGGGTACTTTAGGCATTTCCCGAATTCAGGACACACACTAAACTGAAAATTTAATTTTTAAAATTTGATGGTAGAAATTTAATTAAACACATATTGAGATATCAGTGAGTGATTATCTATATGATCCAGGTTGGCTTTGTGAAAGGAAGGAGGAAACATAATCTCTAGGTTAGAAGGTGCCTATGTTTAAAGATAGCAGTTTTAGTATTTCTCTTTTACTAGGTGTGGGGCAATGTCATTTACCTATGTCAAGACAGTGGGAGTGTATTACCAGAGAGCTTTATTTGCTGATGTTTCGGTTATAAAAATATAAAAGTGATAATGGCTAACAGTTTCTCTTCTGAGGCATATGAGGTAAAAACATTCACTGTAATCAAAATTCAGGTGTACTTTAACCACAGCGCCACCTCTGGGTAGTTTTTATTTCTGCAGTCTTTACATTTAGCAGCTCTGGACACTTAGTGTTAAGAGAGTTACACTGCCAACCCAAAGCAACGTTGTTCCAATTGACCAGCTGCTCCGTGGGAGAAAGATGGGCAGTCTTCTCCTAGGTGATTTCCCGCTCCTGAAAACACGCTGGAGGGTCACTTACAAGTTGCTCCTCACTCGCTGGTAGACGACAACAACTGTGCAGTGATCAGCAGCGAGCGGCCGAACAAAAATTCCATGGTTCATACTTAGAAATTACACAATAAGTGGGACTAACAGTAATCTGCTTCTTAAAGAGGATAGCCTTGGGAAATCAATCAAGCAGCTCCTTTCAACCCTATAGGGTCACAGAGAGTCAAGCAACTCAACAGCAATGGGTTTGAGCTTGTTTTCTAATCTTAGAAGCCATGTTTGTGATCCAAAAAGACCTGCTTAAGTGAGATAGCAATATCAATCTTTCCACTGATTGCTACTAAATGCACAAAAACTGCACTAAGCACACGAAAGCTCTTTATACGCAAGAGTGCGATACTCCGGTAGTCTTGAAATAAATATAAAAAGTGCTCTCAAAGTAATACTCTTGGTATAAAGTAATATTTCCTGAACCAATAATAAAATTATAATAGTTATACCCAAGATACCTCTGTGATGTCATATACCTATGGGTATTCGGTATATTCTCTGTGAGAAATGAGCGTGTAATGCTTTGGGGAAAAGAGAAATGGTGGCCTAGGGGTAAGGACCGGTGCTGCAACCTCGAAGGAACTCAGTTCAAACCCTGCTCCACAGGAGAAGGATCAGCAATCTTCTCCCCTGGGATTAAACGGTTTCTAAAAACTCAAGGGAGTTAAGGGTGTCAAGCTATGGGTTGGTTCATACTCCACAGTGCATAACAACAATTAAATTTCAGAATCATGTCAACCAGCTGCTTGGAAGGAGAAAGATGAGCAATCTCTTCCCTTGGAATTTACAGCTTCAGAAACTCAATGGTCAGTTATGAGGGACAGCTGTGGTTGTGATGCAATGCCGTTGAGTTATTAATCCTAGAAAAAACAATCATTGCCCACAAATATTTGTTCATACTTTCCCTTCTTTTTACATAGCCCTCCAGGCATAATCAGTTTTTCTATTTCCCAACTCACATTTTCTTAGAACCACCCATAGACAGCCAGAAGTTTTACACACTTCATGTTGCCTTTATAATGCCACCAGGAAGGCCAGTGTAATTGATGCTGATATGGCAATCTCCGATGTGGTCCTGCTATCTCAAGAAATAGTATTTTATCCTTTAAAAATCAATGCAAAACTGTTTTTGAAGGAAACTTCTACAGGAAATTTTTAAAAAGCTGTACACCTTTATTACTGCCACCACAGAGATCCTTTGAATGTAAAAATTCAGTCAAGATAAATCTAAAAAGCCTGAGCCTAGAACTACATCTCTGAAATTTAAGAAGGATAGGTAGGAGGGACAACAGTAGTTACTGAAGATGGCAATTAGAAAACCCAAGGGGAAGGTGTGCCAGTTAGGTCTGTGATGGGTTTTTTTTTTTTTGTTTCTTGTTTGTTTTTTATTTTTTAAATGAATTTATTTTTTATTTTAGTGATCTTCAAATCATAGTGTTTGTTTTTTTTTATTATTTAGTTTGTTTCTTTTTCATTTCAATGAACATCTACAGAGATTTTGGAATTCCATTCATTCATTGTTGCACCCTTCTCCCCGCACAAACCCCTCCCCCCTCCCCCCCAATATGGTGCCACTGTTGTAGAATGAGGCTGGCATTGGGGTGAGGGTAAGACTGAGAAAAACTGGATGAAATATGTTTACGGCATTGAAGTCTATCTATGGGGGAGAGAATAGTCTAAAAGTATTATATTTTAGGGCATTATTTTTATCGTAGGAGTACGCAATGAGGGTTGCAGAGTAGATTATATTTGGGGTTTG